AAAGCTAGCACCAGGCGCTGGTTGCGAGTTAGTGACCGTGTCCCGTGTGAAAGTTCAAAGTAGCGGCGCCATAACGGGCTGCATGCTCGCGGGAGGCCTGGCTGAAAATCGGCTGGGTCTCGAGCTGCACTTCGTACTTCCTGTTCGAACGTCGCTTCCTGCATCAGCTGCGTGTCCGGGGTCTCAGCCAGTGTTGCTGCGGTGATACCGAGCCATGCCCGGTTCAGCTGTTCTGCTGCGCGTGGTAGGTCCGTCTCTGGTGGCGCGGGCAACGCGATCTCAGTCTGGGGGTTGTTGGCGACCGGCACTTTCTTAAAGAACAACAGCAGCGCGTCTTCTTCCGGGTCGCACCAAGTGCCAGCGTCCTCGCCGTCTAGCTCGAGAGTTAGGGTTTTTGTCTCGGGTTCACCTTCTGTTCCGCGCGATCCCTCGTCCGATCCGATCCGACTGGGGTCAATGCCTAGCGTTCCTTTTCGCGCTCGCTCCGGGCAGTCGCTACTCCCAATCGCCGTCTGCAGTCAGGTCAAGGATAACACCACATAAACGTCCGCGCCTTACTAGGTCTTAACGGTAGCCACGAGGTACCGCGGCCTGACTCTCAAGCTCTAACGCCCACAAATCGCGCATTCGAACCACAGCACAAGGTGTGCTAACGCTAAGTCTGCCTTAGCTTCCCGAACTAATTCACCAAGTTCCGCTTATTCCCGCTCGAGTTGGGCCCTGCCTGTCTCTTCGTCGCCAACTCAGTCACCAAGCGCCCTACAGTCCGCTGGAGGTCGTCGTGCACGAATTTGCAGCCTGGGGGGCCGCCTATAGGGCATTGCTTTCCCAGGAGTGCCACGTTGCAGCAAATCGCCGGGCGAAGGGACTTGGCCGTCCGGAATAAAGTGTCGCTATCTGGGCACAGCTCTGCCGGGAGGTTGCGCCTCCCGAGCTCGTCTCTCACTGCGTCGAAGGCCGCCTGCCACGGCGCGGGCCCTTGCCTGCCGCGTCCCGCTAGGGCGTCGTTTCGGCGGCCCCCGCCCTGCCGGCCCTCTTCCCCTGCTGGCCCGTTGCCGACGCTGCTTCTCATACCTGCCGCCTGGCCTCCGCTCATCGCCCCACCCCGGGGGTTGTCCTGGGTGCGTGAGCCCCCAGCTTGGCTCTCTTGCCAACCGCTTTGGAATTTTGCGTTGGCGAGAGTTGATCGCAGAAGTCTGACCGTATCGTCCACCCGTTCCAGCAGGCGCCAAAGGCAGCCCAGTTGTGGGCCGTAGCCTTTCGCCCACATTGCCTCCGTCATATCTGCTTCGCAAATGGCGTCTCTGGTGACCTCGTTTTCCGCGGCCAGTAGCCAAGCTCGTTGCGCTGCCCCCAGTTGGGGGTGATTCGGTTTCAGCAGGCTTAACGCGCAGTCGGCCAACTCTAACCCGCCCAGTAAGGTGGCCAGCATGTTGCTGACCGTGTAGATGTCCGCGTCGTAGGTCGCGGCATACGTAGTCAAAGGGGCGAGCA